TGAAAAATACGTTACACGCTGTGACATTTTGGGGCAAATCATCTGATTTGTCCTCACTACACGTATATATTGAAATGATATTGATATTTTTATTTCATAGAGACGAGGAGAGAAAACCCCGAATAATCTGGAATAATGTTTGTAATGCCTGTTTGACTTATACAAAATGGAATAATATTCTCGATGAGGCTTCTCAGAAATCCGTAATCAATATTCTATCTAGAAAGATCATATCATATCATTAATCAATTCCTGATGTAAATCAAACAATAAACCCAATGTCCTCTGTATGACGTTCTCTCACCGTTCCATTTGCGGAACGACATTCTATCATTGTATCAATGTAAACAACTGGAAGGGAGAATGCCGTCTTCTCGAATAGCACAGAGTGTGTCAGGGGCAGCTGCAACAAAGATAGCTTGTGTTACGGTAACCTGTCTCTTTCACACTCGTAATGTTTAATGGCAGATTAGTGTATAAGTTTTCTTTTATTCAATAATTGGAATACAGAACTTCATTGTTGTTTGTTATGTGAATTATCGTTCGAATCAATAAGTAATGGTCATTTATATTATGTGGCCTTCGGATGCAAAACAAGCAAGACAAGCAGAAATTGTCCTTCATAAGTAAGTATAAAATTGTTCAGATTCTCATAGTAATTTATTTTCAGAGGATGTGCTGTGGATGTGTGTATATTCATAAATTGGATTCTAAAGACGATGTTTTTCATATGGATGGACTTATTGATTTGCCTACAACTTCCAGCTTCCAAGTTTCAAAGTTTATTGATAATGAAACCCGCGAACTGTTTCATTCGAGAAGGCCTATTCTATTGCAAATAAAAGTGAAAACACTGAATCAAAGTGAAAAGGAGAATGACAATCTTGTTGAGGTACTTAAAAACATTTTGAAGGTGGAAACTAAAAGTTCAAATGTTTAAACTCAAGAGCTACATCATTTTCTTTTCAGGTTTGCCTTTGGAGCTTCTCCTTCTCCAGATAGGAAAAAATAAAGGTGTACATTCTGGGCGACACCGATATCCATCTTTAATAAAACAATTTGTCCAAACATTGAACTTTTATTCGCCTCTCATTCACCTTCTAATAGTGAAATGTTCATGGAAAGATAGATACTCTTGAAAATCAGGCTTAATATACACCCTAGGTACTCAATACCTTTCAGGAACCTCTTTCAAAATTTTTTCTATCGTTTTTCTTTTTCTTCTGATAGTGCTGAGCTATTGAGCTTTGCTCACCCTGTATGTATTCATTTGACTTCCTAATCCTGTAAGAATAAAAATGAAATTTCACTTTTAAGTCAATAAAAATATCAATAATAATGTTTTAATGATAATTGATTGCAACATTATCCTTTTTCCTAAATGAATATTCATATTTAATCACGTTTACTCTCAAATGAAAGCAAACAACGAGAAAATATTCCAAATAATGCGAGCGCTTCCAATAAGCCAACATAAGATAGAAAGAGATAGGTATTCGTAACCACTGTGGGTTGCCTGGACAATATTTTTGCCTCACTCATCGTTCACAGAGGATCCCTTCCAGTTCTTTATATTGACCAACAGGAGAAAAAAACGAACTCAACTCCATGAGTCGTTTATATTGAGGTGATTGCATTCTATAAACAGTACTGGAAAGATCCTATGTGTCATCTTCTATCGTGTAACGGACGTTATTGTGTTATTGAATCAGGGGTAAATCGGCAAAATGATAGTAGATAATATTGTATACGGATAAAATTACCGTCTCAAGGATTGAACTCGAGAACCAGGATTGGTAGACAGTTCACTATACCAGTCGCTCACTTGAAAATATAAAAAATTGTTGTAAGTGACGTAATGTACGATTGTACGCGCGAGAATGCAGAGAGCCACCGATAGAAATGGTGTGGCTAGACGCTTGTAATGGAAGATGCGTCTGTCACGATGTCTGAAGTAGCACTTTTAGAGCGGAGCACTTCCTCACGGCCATTGTATGATTTGTATGCGGATTACTTAGCACCTCTCCGTGTCTTATTCCTGCTGCCTGCTGGTGACAAATGAACAGGTAGCTTTTCAATAGGCCTGGGAAAGTGGAGATGGATCTTAATTTGTGGGACATTTGGAGAACGGAGAACGGGAATGTCCCTTTGTGGGGACGCTGAGTTCTCACTTAATATATGGGCGGATTGAACTTGCTTGCGACAGAAAATTGATTAATTAACGCACCTGCATTTGTTCTGACACTAATTATAGCTGATCGAGTAGTTTCTTTATTTATCTCAAGAATATATGTTATCTACGGCGGATACTAGGCTGCAGGCATATATCTACTACCATCTACTCATATATGAAGCATAGCTATCCTCAAAGCGGGACCAACTTCTGTCTCTACATGTAACGAAATCGACCAATGGGCGTTGATCGTCGGCATCAACGGGGAAAAATAATACGAAACTTGTCAAACCAATATAGCTGTTTCCATCCTTCACTATTTTTCGATGGTTCAGCCAGAAATGCCTTCGAATGGGTTAATTCTGGTAATTCAGACCAGTACGTGAATCTTTTCCCCTCTGCCGCAGTTGGGCTGATTCCAAAGTATGGTTCTGGTCCTATGATCACAGATTTGGTTCCTAATTTGGCGAGGATGTTGGCTTTCTCGTTGCCCTCAACATTGTCGTTCTAGATGACAACCTAGTTAGGTAGTTAGTAGGCAGGAGCTTATTATACCTCCTCGCACTAGGTCGCCTACTAGGTTTTCATTTAGATCGATAATGCCCGCAACCCCCTGGTGTCCAGGCACCCACAGCAAAGTAACTCTGTTGTTTGCACCCAAGCTTTGTAGGGATTCAAGACAGTTCAATACAAGCTTAGAATGTATCTTGCTGGAGCTCAGTGCTTTAAGTGCAGCCTGACTGTTTGATACAATACTGATGTTTTTGTTTACTAGAGGCCTAGACGTCAACTCTCTAGCACACAATTTGATTGCGAAGATCTCCGCCTGAAAGATTGTAGCACACTCATCGAGATTCACAGAGATTTCCGTCTTCGGTTTTCTGCTGAACACACCGGCTCCAACTCCAAGAGGGGTTTTCCAACCATCTGTGTACATTACGTGATCGGTCTCTGGGAATTGGACTGATTCACTTACCCACTCGTCTCTCTTCGGAAAGAGGACTTTGAAAGACTTTTTCACGTGTGTCTGAGTAGCGAAAAAGGTTGGGAACCATTCCAAGAGTTTGGTTATTTTTAATTTTACACAGTATCCCGGAGTGGTCCAGCAGTCGCCCCCCTCTAATTCGATTTTCCAGTGACAGGAATCTGTAGAAACCATCCTGGCTTTCCTCTCCAAGACAATAATGTGGAGGGGAGTGAGGTTCACAAGGTTTTCTATCGCTGCCTGAAGACCAACAAGCTGTGCCCTGGCTGTGCCTTGCAGACCTTTAGTCCACCAGACTACCGAGCCATTCGGGACCATTGGTTTCACCATTGTTTGGTACATTTAGTAAATCTGTTTGGGGTTCAATCGCCAGGATTTTCCGCATACCCTTCTGAGGTTCCAGAGGGAGAATCTGGCTATGTTAATAGTTTTTGCCATGTGGACGTTCCAGGTGAGTCTTTTATCTAGGGTGACCCCTAGATATTTCACCTCCACCGCAAACAGAATTCTCTCTCCATAAAGGACATGCTGACGAAGCTTATCTAGCTTCTTCCTTTTGGTAAAAGGGATGATTACAGTTTTCTGGGGGGGGGGTCACAGCCATCTGATTTCTCTCGCACCATCTGTACACAGTATTGTTCTAAAAAAATTGTTCTTATCCATCATTCGATTGCCCCCTTACGAGCAACCCTCAGAAGTCTTCAAGAGGAATGACGGGGGTCTTACCTTTTAACGTGTGATCCCAAACACTATCTTTCAGGCCATCAGAAGATTTTCTGCGGTCGTGGTGGGAATCGAACCCACTACCAGTAATCCAACGTGGATAGAACAGTGACGCTCTCACCACGAGGCTACGCTGGCCTCGAGTATAAAGGGCTTCTTGTAGGCCGTTTGAGATCGCTTCAAATTTTCCTCTTACTATCAGATCATCTGCTCAGAATTGGAAATCCACCTCCTGCATGGATAGATCGTTCAGCAGAGGGTGAACTAGGAATGACCACATAAGGGGGAAAAGTACCCCGCCCTGTGGACAACCTTTTGCCGCTCTGAACCTGATCGACTCTCCATGCAGTGATGATATGACGTACCGATTTGCAGTCATGGTTTTGATCTAGTTGTAATTGAGGCAAATTAATATAATAGTAATGATTGTTATAATGATAATAATAATAATAATGATGCTCTACTACCATTTGAGACACTCGTACGGAATAGGTGAGACCCCAGTGCTGCCCTATGCTCCGGGGGATATTGAGTCCGTTGTGGAGAATGAGAGGTGCCGAATTTATTGGAACTTTTCATTCCCCACCCTCAGGCAAATACAAGATAACAAGCCTGATGTAGTCCTCCTCGACCATCAAACCAAAGCGATGTTCGTGATCGAGTTTTCGGCGCCAGCCGAAACGAACATCGTTTTGAAGGAGGAGGAGAAACGGACTAAATATCGAGATCTTCTCTTCGAACTCCGCAGGCTCTATCCAGACCATTCTGTTGAATTGGTCATCTTGATAATCGGCTCCCTAGAAGGCACACGACATACGCTGCTCTCGGAAATCCAGAATATCCCAGCGTGCAGAGATAAGGCACACATCCTGGCTCATTCTAGGATCGTTGCGTCAACTCAGGGCACACGGTTCTTGGTCCCAGTGATTATCAACCTCACAGGCTGTGGGGAGTAGTCACTGGATTTTATCCAGCACGACTCTGCGTGGCGTCGGATGCCGCAGGGTCGTAACTGAAATAATATCAACTCAAATCATAATAATAATATCAATAGTTTTTTGGATACAGGATAACAATTTCCATGGTAAGAAAGATTTTAAAATGAGGTACATGTGTATAGCAAATCTCTAAATTCAAATCTCGTTCACAAACCCACATTTTATATGGAAAAATGCATTAATTTAATATGTACTTTAAAAAATCATGTATACATTGTCAACGCAGCGATCTTCAAAGTGTTATTGATTCTGTTCAAAGGATGATCATAATTCGGAAAATCGCTCCTCAAATTTTCCACCAACTTGGCAAGTCTTCCGTTCATATCCTTCTGCTTGCTATATTCTGAAGTCAACTGCTCTGCTGTTTTATAGACAGTATAGGTGTTCCTTCCCATGGAAAGATAGTGATACATGGAGTGCTTCTTTTGCTGCATCACTAAAAGCTCGAAATTGAATTGTCTGTTGCTTTTGGTTGTTTCTAGCTGATCCAGTAAATCATCGGAGTATTCTAGAAGGGTGTTAGCTTCTTGATTGCACTCGTATATCTCGCGTTCCTTAGCTTCTGCTGAATCTATCGACTTTCTCTTCTTGACTTTCAATTCTTTGATCTCGTTGTCCATTTGCTTCATTTTGTTCCGAAGGTTGTCCATTTTTCTCTGGTAGTTGAATCTGGTTCTATCTTCCTGGAACATAATTACATATTTTGAATTTATTAGATTCTTTACTTGATGAAGTCCTTGTACACACATAAAATGGATTAAGTACAGGGTACGCCTCTTTAAAATGAAATATCCCCTTAGCTCTTTTTATTTCAGAGATATGAAAACATGCTGATTGAAAAAGTTTTTTGAAACGACTCTAACTTTCATTTTGTGAAATTGTTTTATTTACAGGAAACCTCCTATATTTTTTGACATCTCGATAGGGCCTTTTTTCCTGATTTCGAATATAATATATGAGTTGCATATTTGGATGAAAAATAGTTATGTTATTGATGATCTGTTTTTACCAAAATACCGCTTTATGAACCTTCACTTCACATCATCTAATGTAAGTTGAACATTGTGAGCTTTGAAATAATGTTTATATATATTGTTTGAGCTCCATGGGGATATCATGATATTATTATGAAATTGAAATCGTTTAATCTCGATACAAAAAAAATATGAATGGACAGTTTGGTAAACATTTTGGTAAACTTTGATTATCAATAGCTCGATTAATTTCCATACAAATATGCATTATATATTTTTGAAATCAGAGTTACTGTCCTTTCCGGAAATGACAATGTATATGAAGCAACTTCACGAAATAAAAGTTTTTTTTTTCACACCTCTGAAAACAAAAGATTTTAGAGAGACGCACCCTCCCTGTACAGGGTGATTCACCATAATTGTTGCCCCCTCTAGCTCACTTATTTCTGAACCGATTCAAACATTTTAAAGTTAATTTAAAATGAATTTTCAGATTTTTTTTCCCGTTGCATCAGAAAATACAGGGTGCTCGGAACAAAATATCTACAGAGTACTTCTTGATTTTTTCAAATGGAACACCCTGTATCTCATTGTATTTTTAGATTCTTCCTGAAGAGCTGATTTCATCAATGCATCACACTTAGGGTCTAGCGGGAATGATTACAGAGATATAGGGTGTTCAAAATCGAGATTTTTCAACTTCAGGATTTATTTGTGTCGAAACTATTCATCATTAGTCAAAACGATGACAGATGGCGTTACTTTCATTTTGTCGAGGAAAGACGCCTCGGGGTGAATATAATGCCAACTTGATTTTTTTTGGCTAGGCTAGGCTTCGCTAAGTCGGCGGTCTTAGGACTGCTGGCTGGAGACTACACTGCACTGATAAGATTCAAAGAACTCGAAACCGGTCTGTGGTTGTGTAGCGGCCTGGCTTAATCGAAATCAATAGGCATTCAGGAAAGAATCACTTGTATCAGTATTCGTACATTCGTAGACATAGAAGGTGCTTTCAATAACGCATCAACAAATTCTATAATTAATGCCCTAGCAAGGAAAGGAGTACCGCTACTCCTGTGCCAGTGGATAAATGTCAATTTGAAAAATAGGGTTATCATATCCACAATTGGCGAGACAACTCTGACAGCTAGAGCAGATAGGGGATGCCCACAGGGAGGAGTATTATCGCCCCTACTATGGGCCATTCTAATGGACGAACTGATCAAAAGGCTAACATCCAAAGGGTATTATTGCTTAGGATATGCCGACGACCTGGCGGTTATCGCTAGAGGTAGATTCGCAAGTACGGTCTCGGAGCTCACACAAATCGCTCTAAACATAATTGACAATTGGTGTAAAGAGGAGGAACTCACCGTGAACCCTCATAAAACCACTATAGTGAATTTCACGAAAAAGAGAGTACTGGAAGGATTAAAGTCACCAGTACTCAACGGGGTAGAAATTCCGTTCGCCCTAGAGGCAAAATACTTAGGAGTCATCTTTGACCATAAGTTAACATGGAATCATCACCTACAAAAAATTGTTCAAAAAAGTACAGTAGCCTTCAATCTGTGCAGACGAATGTGCGGGAAAAATTGGGGACTGCAACCAAAAATGACCACATGGCTCTATGCCAGCGTCATCAGGCCTATGATAGCATATGGGTCAGTAGTTTGGTGGCCAAAGACACAACAGGCTGGAGTGATTCGAAGGCTCAGTGCTATTCAAAGGCAAGCTTGCCTGAGTGCCACTGGTGCAATGAAAACCACTCCAACAGCCGCTTTAGAGGTCCTCTTGAACCTACCACCACTACAAATATATATTCAAGGCGAAGCCAGAGCAGTCGTGAGTAGATTGTCAAGGGGTCAAGCACCCATAAGCAACGCGCACGGTAAAGACTATAGAAAGCTATATGAAGAGTTGGAAAGCGACCCCATCATGAGAATGCCAACGGATGGCATAATTCCAAAATATAGCTTTGAAAAAACTTTTAAAATAAGTATAACGGACAGAGAGGCATGGAAGGAAGGACCTCCTATCAATGCAGACATTGCTGTCTATACGGACGGCTCCAAAACTTAGTTTGGATCAGGAGCTGGTATTTATGGGGCCAAGCCAAAGACAAGAATCTCACTGAGCTTAGGTAAATACGCGACGGTGTTTCAGGCAGAAATTATTGCAATACATCATTGCGTGAAAGAATTGATAAGGCAAGAGTTTAAAGGCAAAACCATTGCAATCTATTCAGATAGCCAGGCGGCAATCAAAGCAGTCAACTCTATGCAAGTTAACTCAAAACTAGTATGGGACTGCTTAGAAACCCTAAATGCACTGGGCAGTCAGAACAGACTGACTCTAGCATGGGTACCAGCACATACAGGGTACGAGGGCAATGAAGAGGCAGACTCACTTGCTCGAGCAGGAGCAAACAAAGCTCTGAATGGCCCAGAACCCTTCTGTGGTATTGCGAAAGCTATACAAAAGACTAGTATCAAATCATGGATGCAAACCAAATCTCAAGAATGGTGGAACAAATCGCCAGGAATGAGACAGGCAAAACAGTTCATTAAAAAACCATCGCCAACATTCACAGAATATCTACTAAGCCAGAAACGAAGTTCAACTAGAATTAATACTAGTGGGACTTCTCACAGGGCATTGTAGGCTCAACAAACACATGAGTACGATAGGTCTGACTGAAGAACTGCTGTGCAGGTTCTGTCAGGAAGAGGAGGAAACAGCAGTACACATACTTTGCCACTGTGAGGGCTTGTCAAGACTAAGGTTCCTTACGCTGGGTGAGGAAAAACCAGAAGCCCAGAGATACACAGGGGATCTGAAAGCTAGCCTATGGAGTCTCATAGAGAAGACGGGGCTAGCCGAAGAACTCTAATCGATTTCGAGGGCAGACACAATAGATCTGAAAAGGTCGCGGTGTGGAGGCAGATAGCCCGAAGGCCCCATTCTAAATCTAATCTAATCTAATTCGTTTATACGAGTCGATGCATAGATTTCGGAAGGATGTAATTCAATGTCCTGCGTGGCATTAGCCAGGGTAAAGTAGTTGTTTTTCTCCCGAAATCTACCATTGTTGTTCATTTTATGAACACTGTGTGGAAATGACTTTGAGCTTTTTGCATTTATTTATAATAGACAGTGTTTCGTTCTTGGTACATAAATAACTTGCACGAAAAACAAGATTTGTAGAATGATTTGTGTATACAGTGTGTCCATTTAGTGCTTAATTCTTCGATATTTCGGAAGCCATAACCTATAGAGAAAAACTCTGAAAGAGAAACTTCTTTAGTTACTGAAGTTGCTCATTTCAAAAATATTTTCAACATTACTGAGTGTTTTATAAAAGCGGGACAACTCGGAGACGAGTTTTTTTAAAAGGAACACCCAGTATTGTTTATTCGGAATTCATTCCGCGGAGGTTTACCTTCACATCACTGTAAATTAGATTTGAATCGGTTGCGGCGTTGCCAAGTTATAATTGATAAATCTATTTTCACCACTATTGACGAATCATGTTGAATTGGCCATGGTATATTCATTTATTCAAATTTTGAATATATTTTTGGCATACGGTAGTAGCAATTTTGCGACATGTTCTTCAACAGGGTGTTCAATTTTGCATTTTGAATTTTGCAAGATTCAGATGACATTCATAAGAATTTTTCAAATGGAACACCCTGTATTTTTCCTCACACATTTCGACATCTTCCGCCTTTCCGTCGCTGAAAAAAAAACCGAAATCGGTTGCGGCGTTGTCAAGTTACGCATAATTTCCTTATTTTTACTATACTATTTCGGGGTAATTTGGATGTCATAGTTCTTTCATCTATTTGTATTGAGGAAATATTGCGTTGCTACGGTATAATCAAACTCCTACATTGACCATTCATATATTTTTTCACAACAGGAACATTTACAGGCTCTTCAAGTTTGAATTTAAAACAGAGTGGGTTTTGACAAATTTATCCAAAATGCAACTTTCACAGATTTTTTGCAGACTATGAATTTATTTTTCTAAATACACTTATATTTGTGTAATAACCTGTCAAACATCGCCACGATCAAATATATCTTGAATTTATTTGAAATTTTGCTGAATTCTCGTCCAGCCGAAACCCACGTAGCAAAGAAATATTGTTTGTATCATTATGTTTACCTCCTTCAAGTTAAATGGAGATTTGGATTGTGGGAATGACGACAATAAAAAGGGCCCAAATTTTTTAAAATTATCCTTTTTCTCGCAATCCAAATCTCCATTGTTTGTATTGTAGAAGTTGTTTAAATGCAGGCGTTGCTTTTGGCATGTTTGTTTGTTTCACATAGATAGGTACATATTATTTGAATTATAGGTAACAAGATTACGGAATATTTCAAATTTGGACAATGCACATATCGCAAAAATACCTGAATGATCTATGTATAACCTCGAATGTCATGTGGCAAGCAATTTTTCCACACTCGATTCAAATAAAGGAACCATGTAGCCCTGAGATAGTGATGAACATAAGGAAATTACTCATAACTTGAAAACGCAGCAACCGATTTTGATTTCTTTTCCAGCGATGAAAAGGCGAATGATGTCGAAATAAATCTGTGATAAGAAATACAGGGTGTTCCATTTGGAAAATTCTAATGAACGTCGTCTGAATCTCACAATATTCAGAATGGGTTTATCAATTATAACTTGGCAACGCCGCAACCGAATTCAATTTTAGTCACAGCGATGTAGAGCTAAACCCTTGCGGAATAAATTTCGAATAAAGAATACTGGGTGTTCTATTTAAAAAAACTCGTTTCCGAGTCGTCCCGCTTTGGAAATATTTTCGAAATGGGATGCTTTGATAACAAAAAGAAGTTTTTCTCAGGAGTATGGATTTCGAGATATCGAAGGATTACGCACTAAATGGACACACTTCACAGCTCTGGAGGAACCGGAAGGAATATTTTAGTTGGATTCTCCATGTATTCTTCACCGACCCAATACCAACTTTCAGAATCATGTTACTTTTATTTCTCCATATACAGGGTGAGTCGGAAGGAACGCACTAAACTCCAGGTGTGTATCTTGTACACGTAAACCTTTCGATAAACCCGTATGTTCTTATACGATTCTCATTTGTATTCATTCTGAATTGGAATAGATTTGTGGCACTAAGACTTTGAACGTACAACCTCGAAAATAATCGCATCAAACACACTAACACTAACACTAACACTAACACTAACACTAACACTAACACTAACACTAACACTAACACTAACACTAACACTAACACTAACACTAACACTAACACTAACACTAACACTAACACTAACACTAACACTAACACTAACACTAACACTAACACTAACACTAACACTAACACTAACACTAACACTAACACTAACACTAACACTAACACTAACACTAACACTAACACTAACACTAACACTAACACTAACACTAACACTAACACTAACACTAACACTAACACTAACACTAACACTAACACTAACACTAACACTAACACTAACACTAACACTAACACTAACACTAACACTAACACTAACACTAACACTAACACTAACACTAACACTAACACTAACACTAACACTAACACTAACACTAACACTAACACTAACACTAACACTAACACTAACACTAACACTAACACTAACACTAACACTAACACTAACACTAACACTAACACTAACACTAACACTAACACTAACACTAACACTAACACTAACACTAACACTAACACTAACACTAACACTAACACTAACACTAACACTAACACTAACACTAACACTAACACTAACACTAACACTAACACTAACACTAACACTAACACTAACACTAACACTAACACTAACACTAACACTAACACTAACACTAACACTAACACTAACACTAACACTAACACTAACACTAACACTAACACTAACACTAACACTAACACTAACACTAACACTAACACTAACACTAACACTAACACTAACACTAACACTAACACTAACACTAACACTAACACTAACACTAACACTAACACTAACACTAACACTAACACTAACACTAACACTAACACTAACACATGTCAGAACAATAAAAAGAACCAGACAATCGACTTTGAACGATTAAAGTCTTATAAAATGCCACACATCAATTCAAATTCAGAATGAAAACAAATAAGAATCGTATAAGAATAACATGAGTATTTTGAAATTATTTTTACGTGTACAATAAACACCTAGAGTTTGGTGCATTCCTCCCGACTCACCCTGTATAGAACGCGTTAAATCATGAGGATGGACCTTCCATAGGTGTTCAGTATATTATTTTACAAACCTTGGGTCCATTTCTTTTTTGTCTTGCTTCTGACGTCATATAAATAGAATTCCTTCTTGATAAACAATATTCCAAGTCTTTCAACAACTTCTCTTGAGCCTTTTTCAGTTGGCCGTAGATCACCTCCATTCGATGTATTTCTAATTTCATATTATCAACTTCACCGCCAGCACTTCTTTCATTTTTCATGAGACCTAAGGCCTCCCTGGCCATCAGTAGCTTCTTGTCCCATTCCAAGGCTTCTCTGTTCGCATCCATCAGTTCCCTGCTCAAGGTTACTTTATCTTCCTCGATTTCAGCTATTTCAGCTTCAATTTGCAGCAGATGCAGCTCTGCCTCTTTCAGCTTGGAATCATAATGTGTCTGAAGTAAGGAATTGTTCCTGTCTAGATCGATTTTTTTGTTGCGTTTCTTGAATAGATTTTCGCACAGAGATACTCCTTTGTTTTGGAGATTGCTGATGTTGTGAGATACTTTCTCTTCGTTCTTTTTGTACGCTTCCAATTCATCGTTTATCTTCAGATTTTTTTGCTCGAGGATGAGGGTTTGTTTTTTGAGCAAATTGATTTCATGGATCTGTTTTTGCCTCTCATTAGAAACGGCTAAGATGTTGTTCTGCTCTCTCAACCAATACATCTGAAGGTTTTTGATACTAGTTTGAGTTTCTTCAATATACTTCTCCAACTCAAGTATTTGAAAGTCTTGTGGGGATGTGGAAATATCAGGTTTTGTAGACACTTTTTCCAATTTGCTATTGAGAACTTCAACTTCTCTCTCTCTCTTTCTGAACAAAAGTTCGTAAGTATCCTTCTCAGATTGCAATTCGTCTGCCTCTTTTTCCAGAACTGCTTGTTGGTCAAGTACTTCCTTGAGCAAACGGTTGTTATCGTCATTTTTATATTTCTGGGACTCTGTTTCTGATTTTATCAGGCTACTTTTGTTTTCTGCTTCTGTCATTATAACTTCCACGTCCCGTTTCTTAACCTGCATAGTACTGTAGATCTTGGCGAGGTTTTTAGAAATTTTATTATTAACCACTTGCATTTCCAAATTTCTCAGTAAAGCTTCTTCTAGCTCGAATTTTTTCGCAGAGATTCTATCAAATTCCTTTGTCAAGGAAATCAGTGCATTTTCTCTCAACTGGTTCTCGTTTTGGATTACCTCTATCTCCTTATCTGTTCCTTCCAAAATAGCTTGCAGTTCAAGCATCTCTTTGTCGATCACTGCTTTCTTCTTCATTTCTTCCTCTGTCTGTAAAGTGCAGTTTTTGATGTCCATCTCGAATCTGCTTTTAATCATAGTATATCGTTCGTTCTCCATCAATTCTTTTTTTATCAGCTTCCTAACTTGGTCAGTTTCGGATACCGTACTCTTGAATCTCTCGCGTAGCTTGGTCAATTCTTCATTGATGCATTCTAGTCCTTTATCCCTGTTACCTATAGCGACAACTACAGAGTTCCAGGAATGCATGAGGCATCTGTATTCGCTCTGAAGAGCTTCAACATTGGTGTTACCAAGCGCTACGTTTTGTTCCAAGTGCTCAATTTCGTTCTCTTTCACTCTGATCTGCGTGTTGATGGTTTCTATCTCGGATTCAAGCTTCCATATTTCGACGAGCAGCTTGTATATGAGCATGTCTTGTTGTTTGTTCTCTCGTGCCGCAAGCATATTGTCTCTTCTGGTCTTCTCTGCGATACGTTTGTTGACGGAAATGTGAGATTCTATTTTGGTTTCCCACTGAGTCATCTGTTGTATTATGAGATTAACTGACTCAATTTCATTTTGTAGTTCCCTGTTAGTCTTCTCAGATTGATGGTATTTCTCAACAAGGTCTTTGTGGTTCTTCCTTTCGAGTTCTAACTCGTTTTGAACTTGTTCTTTTGCAGCTGTTACGGTCTCAAGATTCGATATGATGGTTTCGAGGGATTTCTGTTGATTGCATACCATTTGTTGGGCTTCGTACGTTTGTACTCCAAGTTGTTCTCTTTGAGCATCTTTTATCTTGGTTTCAGATTCGATTTCGAAGATTTCTTCTTTCATACGATTTATCTGTAGTAGCAGATGCTCTTTTAGAGCTAGCTGGAACTTTTCTAGGAGAGGATGGTCAGGATTTAGGACACCTTTTTTAAGGTTGACGTTCATGTCTGGTTCTTCCTCCATTTTTTCAGGTGATATTTGCACTTTATTGCTGTTTGATTGTTCACTAACTGTATAAGAAGTCGAATCGTTTGATCTGTTTGATCGATAAATAGGAAATGTCAGCTTTCGGTTACCTGTAGCAACCGATGTTGTGTTTCTAAGAAACGGAGTGAACTTCTTTGAGCAACACAGTGATTCACTTACCATTCCATACCGAGTCTTCATTTACCGGGTGATTAATTTCTCGCAGCATATATCAATTAACTAAGATCCAATGTATAACTTTGTTATTATTTACAATAGATATATAAATTTTCGAACATCGCGAGTTGATGTTATTTCATACCAAAATAAACTATAGAAATTCACAATGGAGATCTTGAATGCTGAAATTACTGTAAATCTCTCGAAGAGTCAAACTCACTATGCCTGATATGATGATGTTTGTACCACCATTATCCCAAACTCCACAATATCTATGCTCGGTATCTCCATCAGTAACACCCTCTCAAAGGAAAATCATGTCAGATCCTTCGCGAAAACCGCATCAGAAAAACTTTCCTTTTCATTCCGTGTAAAAATCTACCATTCCTACTACTACTATTGTGAGTTCATTGTGAGTGATGAATATTGTGCACAAAAAAATGTTAGTAAGCTTCTCCTTACGAACAGTGTGCTTAAAGCGAGCAATCGCACGGTTTTCATAGATATGTTGATAGATGACTTTGTTTTGCTACTTAGGCGATGTGTTAATTTCAGTTAATGACAGAAGCTAGATAGGTACTTATATTTTTCTGCAACCGACACAAAAGTCGTTCATTTAAGTACCACAATTAGCTCTCGAATTGGCATTTCTAATACTGACTCAACATAGGTATGTTGCTAGGCATCACATTTAGTTCCTAGGAGGTAAAGTTGAACTAAAAAGGATATACTAGAGGTCATCAAGAATAAACAACATTGTAACGGTTGGTTATTTGGGTTGGGACGCATACCTGATTTGTTTCCGATTTCGGCAGATTTGGCATTTCACACCCATGCTGGAGATATAAAATACACCATATTATGGTTAAGTATTTTTGTTTTGATCATGAAAGCCTTCAAGATTCACATACTTGCTCAATCTGTATTTCATTCGTTATTCTTGGGATGGATAACTTGTTTTTGAATAATCACGGCCAGCAATACTTTTTTGTTTCACAACGATATTGTTCACCTTCATTCGATTACCGAGCCAAACACCGTGGAGTATGGAGAGGAATAAATAATCGCTATTATTCTTGTAGATATGCTCACTAACCCAACATTTCCCAGGTCTCTTTTCTATACCTGGCACTGGCGCGGTATTTGCTATTAGGGCTGACACCTGGTCCATACACGAATGAGTCACTCTGTGATTCTATTTATATTGAAACTACTATTCGAACTTCCTTGAAAATTAAATAGACCTGATCTGTAAATGCAGGTAGAATATTCTCATCATAAGGATAATTTATTGCATTGCATACCATATGGTACGGCATCCACGTTTCGGGCATAGTATTGAATAGAATGTTTCTTTCGGATCAAAAGTGACTTTGTTTGACTCGCAAATTTTGTTTTCGCTCGGCTTTGCTAGACGCCCCGCTTCGCAAACGCAAAATTCGCTTGTCAAACAAAGTGTCGATTTCGATCCTAATAAAACATTCTACTATTTTCTCCAAGCGACATAGAAAGTGGCTTGTCTCTGACACTCAACAGGCAGTTTAGGTGTACTGTCTCTGGCTATAGGCAGGAAAAGTTTTTTGCTATGCAACGTTCCAAGTAATTCGAATGAAATTGGTAATCAAAATTGACACTGACATTGAGTGAATACAAAATGATGGTGTTTTCAAAAAAAAATATACACAACATCAGTTTTACAACATTTGGAGAGAAAATTATATGTTTCACACGGAAGAAAATGTAGATTGACTGAGCGTAGCAAGGAATTCACTATCTACTACTTTGCTGCCTAGTAGTTGTAGTAGTAGTAGTGTAGTAGGCGGGGAGGCTGTAGCCAAGCAAGTAGGCCCCGATGGGCCCTTTTTGGTAACCCCTACTCTCCACATATCTACGCTTCCTTCAACTAGATTTCCTTCACGAATCTCCCATCAGACCTTCTGATGAAGACCAGTATGTCCGTCCACTCTAATGTAATCAACTTCTTCTGTTGGAGTTTTTTGACTCCAAAGACTTCAAACCTCAGCCTCCAGTACGCCTCTCACTCGCCGAGACATTGGAGTGACGTTTCTTTGTCTTCCCCACATCTGCTGCAAATGGAGTTATCCTCTATTCCCATAAGAGTTAGGTGTCTGCGTAGCCTGTTGTGTTTTGTGAGTACTCCTATGGGGAGGCGGAGTACTTGGCGCTCTCTGCCAAGCAGCCAGTCCCTCCTTGATTTGCTCGGACCGGCCACGAATTCCTTGGCCTGCCTGCAACCTGTGATATTCCTCCAGTATTCTCCTAGTGCCTTGTGCTAGGAGCAGCACGAAAAAGACTAATGAATATAACTTGCGCATAAATAATGGAAAAATTGGGGTAATAAATCATTTTACGTATCTCGGTGTAACCTTCTCATCGTCCTTGATGTACCGCGAAATGGCCACAAGTACATCAGACAAAAGTGAAACAGCGTGTATTCGTGCACTTCCAAAGAATACAGGCTGGAAACAGGAAGAGTAAAGATATTCTACTGCATATTCAAGAATTGTCTCAATTGGCTCATTAGGATATTTCAAATGAATAACAATCGTTTGCCAAAAATAGCTTTACTACGCCTCATATCATGACAGGATAACAAAGAACCGAAATATAACTGGATGAGCCAATTGAGAGATTATCTTATCTATGCTGGGTACACTGAAGAGTGGGGACCAATTGATGGGGTTCTCCTTAAGAGAAAAAGAAATTCACTTCTCCAAACATTCGAGAATAAACAAATACAAGAAGACCTCGCTCTACAAGCACGATCTACTTATCTAACGTTTTATACGCATCTCAACTTGCCTCTTCATATAGTCCGCATACTATAGCGTGAGCAATAATTTTATAATCAAATTCAACTTCAAAGGCTACTCATACAAAATAAATCCGTACGAAATTTGTACAATATGTAATAGCGCCTGTTCCGAAACAATCCTCCATATATTATTTGTATGTCCAATTCATTCTTCAATGAGAACAACAAACCTTGCTTTCCTCACCAGCCCTCAACTTCTCGTAGGTGCGCTCAACAATATAAACCCTCCTACTTGAAAATCAATATACAGAGTGGGCCTTTGAAAACGAAACAGAGGCTCTGTAGGTCGCAAAAACCGGATTATGAAAAAAATCTGAAACACGTCAACTACATTTTCGAGGGGGACATCGTTCTACAATATTTTCAGCCCTGCGGCGTTGCCGCTGCTAACGAAAAGAAGCAACAACTTTGTTATCTCAAATGGAACACCTTGTATTTTATTGCATTTTTGGATTCTCCCCGAAGAGCTGATTTCATCAATGCATCACACTTGGGGTCTAGCTGTAATGGTTTCAGGGATATAAAGTGTTCAAAATCGAGATTTTTCAACTTTAACATTTTTTTTGTGTCGAAACTATTCATTATTGGTCAAAACGACTCCCATGTCCCTATCTCAACTTGTGATTCACTATCTACTAACATTCAATTGGAACAGATACAGGGTGATCAGAATTTTGAATCTTGAACCACCCTGTATTTGTTTCAAATAAATGTCAGTAGATAGTAAATCACAAGTTGAGATAGGGACATGAGAGCCGTTTTGACCAATAATAAATGGTTTCGACACAAAAAAATGTTAAAGTTGAAAAATCTCGATTTTGAACACTTTATATCCCTGAAACCATTACAGCTAGACCCCAAGTGTGATGCATTGATGAGATCAGCTCTTCGGGAAGAATCTAAAAATGCAATAAAATACAAGGTGTTCCATTTGAAATAACAAAGTTGTTGCTTCTTTTCTTTAGAAGCGGCAACGCCGCAGGGCTGAAAATATTTTAGAAAGATGCCCCCCTCGAAAATGTAGTTGACCTGTTTCAGTTTTTTTTGATAATCCGGTTTTGGCGACCTACAGAGCCTCTGTTTCGTTTTCAAAGGCCCACTCTGTATGTCATCACTTATGGAACATTTTGAAATTGAGGTCTTTCATTGTGAACGAATGAAATCATACTATGTCAGTTACTTGTTTTCTGCATTAACCTTACTCAATGTCTTATTGTTTACTGTTTTCTTTTATTTTTTTCTTATTCTCTGTATTAATTAGGTTTCAACATTTGGTATAGTTTATATAAAATCAAACCCTTCGTTATAAAAACTTTAGTTTTTCAGTAACAAATAAACTGATTGATTGATTGATCCTAGTGCCTTGTCTGCCCAAGGCTCCGGACCCAGAAAGAAACGGCTCCGCGCGGGGATCCAGCCCTAGCTCGTCTGCTGTTTTGTTTCCGGGTACCCCACTGTGATCCGGGACCCATACCAGTTCAACTTCCGTTGATACGGCTAATATCTTGCTGCCTAGCAAATCAAATAACTGTTGAAAATGGTCATTTCTCAATTTCACTAAAAAATGTCAAGCGATGACGATGAGATTATTTCTACACCAAAATCCTGGAAATTGCTACCCGTGAAATCTCATTTTCGGGAAATATTTTGTTACTTTCAAAAACTGCACAGTGACTTCAAATAACCATTATAATAATATTCTTTCTACTCACATAACTGAAATGGCATTTAACGTACCGATATTTACCACGCTAAATGATGGATCATTCACGGATTGACGATCTGTGATTCAATCATAATATTAAACACGTTACCATGACAACACAATTTCTTAAACACATTACCAACGCAAGAGAGTATTTTAATAGTATATTATGTAACAAGTGTTATGAACGTCCTTTTAGTAACGAGTATTTTGAGCACGAGCGGAGCAGAGCGTAGCGAATGTTTAATAAACGAGTGTCTAGAAGAGTTTATAAACGCGTTGCATACTATGCTTTTTCTACGAACTCCGAGATAACATTAACATACCTGCTATTTCTGCTAACCTACAAAATAATTCGAAAGGAATGAGAATTGAGAACATAATACATGCAACTGC